ATAAGAGTATTATTTATAAAAAAAAATTCATTTTTAACATTTATTATAGGAATATTTTCTTTTCGTTTATATGTCGATGAAATAATTTCAATATTTTGATATATTTTTAGTAATTTTTGTTGTCCAATAGTTAAACCCATATCACGTACAATTAGATGACCTTTGTCAGGTACATATCTATGAAGTGAACCGATTAAATTTTCTAGATCTATAAATTGAGATGAATCACAACTTGTTTCAAATTGTAATAAAGACGAATTTACTAATAGAATTATATTAATAATTAAAACATAAAAATAAAACATTTCAATATTAAATTATTAATCAAATTGATATTTATTGGACATACCTAAACAATATATAGCGATATAAATTAGATTATATTGAACAAATGACTATTTCTTCTATAAATTAACGTATACTATTGAAATTTTAACTCGATTTTATTTAGTTTATGATGTTACAAATAGATAGTTTCTCCATAGTTAGAAATATATACAGGAAACTAATATTTTCCAAGTTTTATTTACGCACTTGCAATCGGCATCCAACTAAATTCAAGCAGCAATGAGAAAAATTATTTTTACGGCTGTTGTGTTTACACTGTAAATCTTGATTAACCGTTAATATCGTTGTTGTTGCTAATCATAGGAAGATTGCTCTATTCTATCTATTTTGGGACATATTTCTTCACCATCCTTTTACTCAATCCTGCAGATAAACAAGAGGGAAGTGGTTCATATATTATAAGGAAATGTTATTGATACAGTCAATGTCCCTAATAATAACACTAAAAAAATTTTCTTCCTTGTTCAACTCGGTTCTCAGCTATTTTACACTCGACTGAAAATACTTTTATATATGCATAATCTATGGAGTTTCCTCTTTCAAATGGTATAACAGCGGTCTTTCTCTGAAATGCAATGGCGGAGAAATCAGCGGTCTACGATAACGAACTGCTACTGTTGTTATTAGGGACAGTTTCCCTAATAACAACACTCAGCTATTTTTTGTCCCTAGTAACAACACTTAAGCAAAATTTAAGCCAAATCAGACTTTTTAAGAGAAAAAACTTTTTTTTACGCGTTTTCTTTGAAAAACAAGCAGAGACTCCGCTGACAACTTTGTAGAGCATGTCAAACTCTATCTAAATCTAAAGGTTCATGAGAAAAAAAATTTCCTTTAATGAGATATAAAATCTAAAAGGAACATGTCTAACAGTGTCCAAAAAATAGGTGACCCTAATAACAACACCAAGCTAATTTTTGTCCCTAATAACAACACCTCCACCGAAATTGGTGTATGAGTGTGCATAAAACAAAAACTAATTTCCATTTTAATAGCTTGATGGATTGTGATCGTTTTTCACAACTTTATTTCATTTTTCATGATAGGTCGATTTTTTGTGCCTGGGGTACCCCTCAGGTATTCGAAAAAATATTTTTGTTCTCGTTTGAGTTCTCACATTTATAAATCGATAGAACTCAGTGTTCTGATTACGAATGTTGTGTTATTTTTCAAAATTCATCGAGTAATAAGAAAAATCTAGACCATTCAAGACAGGCATAAAAATCAGTTTTTGGCTTATAAGACCATTATTATCCGTCTAAAACACGTTGGAAATAGGCTCATTCGACGCAGAAGTTTTTTCTCTATCAGAATATATATAAGGCTTTAGGAAACAATTATGTTTTTCAATCGATAATTATCGAATACCGAGCCTAATGGTGCTCTATAGTCCCCAACAGTGTTTTTTTGACCTTTTTTTTATTCTTAAATTTCAAGTCGAAAATAGTTTTACGAGAAGAGCTCATTGAATTATGTTTGTGGTAAAAAAATCTCGATGATGTACCTGAGTAAACTATATTCCCACAAGCTGGAAAAAATCATAGTAAATGACCATAGAGACCCATGGGGCCCGGTATTCGATAATTATCGATTGAAAAACATAATTGTTTCCTAAAGCCTTATATATATATATTCTGATAGAGAAAAAAATTCTGCGTCGAATGAGCCTATTTCTAACGTGTTTTAGATGAATAATAATGGTCTTATAGGCCAAAAACTGATTTTTATGCCCATCTTGAATGGTCTAGATTTTTCTTATTACTCGATGAATTTTGAAAAATAATATGATATTCGTAATCAGAACACTGAGTTCTATCGATTTATAAGTGTGAAAACTCAAACGAAAACAAAAAAAGTTTTTCGAATACCTGAGGGGTACCCCAGGCACAAAAAATTGACCTATCATGAAAAATGAAATAAAGTTGTGGAAAACGATCACAGTCCATCAAGCTATTAAAATGGAAATTAGTTTTTGTTTTATGCACACTCATACACCAATTTCGGTGGAAGTGTTGTTATTAGAGACAAAAATTAGCTTGGTGTTGTTATTAGGGTCACCTATTTTTTGGACACTGTTAGACATGTTCCTTTTAGATTTTGTATCTCATTAAAGGAAATTTTTTTTCTCATGAACCTTTAGATTTAGATAGAGTTTGACATGCTCTACATAGTTGTCAGCGGAGTCTCTGCTTGTTTTCCAAAGAAAACGCGTGAAAAAAAGTTTTTTCTCTTAAAAAGTCTGATTTGGCGTAAATTTTGCTTAAGTGTTGTTACTAGGGACAAAAAATAGCTGAGTGTTGTTATTAGGAAAACTGTCCCTAATAACAACAGTAGCAGTTCGTTATCGTAGACCGCTGATTTCTCCGCCATTACATTTCAGAGAAAGACCGCTGTTATACCATTTGAAAGAGGAGACTCCATAGATTATGCATATATAAAAGTATTTTCAGTCGAGTGTAAAATAGCTGAGAACCGAGTCGAATAGGGAAGAAAAATTTTAGTGTTGTTATAAGGGACATTGACTGTATGCATTTCTACCATTTGGAAGTGGTCATCGTCAATGTCTTGGACAAGATTTGGCTCGATTCGAACTCAAAGTAATCTTAGCTCGCATGCTGCAACAAGTAACATTCGGTGACGGTGGTCCTGAAGTCAATGCAGGTGGATATATTCAAAGATTGACTATCATGCCCAAACATGTCGGAGTCATCCTTGAATTCAACTGATGCATGAAAATCGATATTTTTCTCTGTCACTTTTACTTTTCATTTATTTGAATAAATAGCAATGTTGTGTGATACATTAATACAGAATAGTGTGTTGATGATAAATTCTAGCACTTGAAAAAGCATGAAACTGGATGATGGATGATTTAAAAAATCATCCAAATCCAGTATTTGCAGCTGTGTTCAAATTTTCGAAATTTTCAATCTAATCCCTTATCCTTATCCCGTAATTCTACATCTAACCCGTTATTTCTATCCTCAATCACTAAATTCTATATGTATTATATTTACCCACATTTGCTGTGAGTAGAGTAAGAGCAAGCATTCTCTCTTCTATTCGCACGAAAAGCGCATCGCCGTTGTTTAATGTTGAGATGATCCTAAACAAACAACATTAGGTTATATCGTAAGATTGAACTTACCATTGAATTGATCATTCACATATACTTGAATAGACACTCACATCCTGGTTCCGTCGTACTTTACCTTTTAATCCGATAGGAGTTGCACTGAAGGCTTTTTTATTTATTATTATGATTGCTCTTCTTCATGGCTGTAGGATGTAATCGTTACAATCTATATGAAATAGAAACCTACCAACAAATTTTTGGCACATGAATTCGACAACGACAAAAACAGGCGGCGCTTATTCACACAAGAAATTCAATGGAAATGGAAGCTTCCTAATAAATAAAATACTCAAGGAAAACAAAGAAAATATAACAGTCATGCAATTTGATTTGAAACCGAACTAATACGCTCTGAGAAATCAACAACTATGCACTCATGTATGCGAACGTGAATAAACATATTACTCGCATATACAAACAATCAAGAAAGTTTTAAGTCAAAATTAATCAATATGATCGATTTGAAGAGAAGATTGCTGGTATTTTCACCAATAATGAGAATATGGTCGCAGTCATACGTAAGCACATGCCGATAATTCAAGGAACTTTTTTTCTTCGATAATTATAAATTAGTATGCTTCTGTTAGACACGATTGTTTTAATTGACAATAAAGGTGATGTTTTACTTTTTCTAAATCAGAGTTTTGTGCACGTCATAATAAAGATTAAAATATTATACTCGATATTAGCTTGACGATTGTGATTCACAGGAAACGGTATAACTATATTAGAATGTAATTGTTTTACTCATATTTCAGTTTGTATCAATGAACAGGAAAAGAGGTAGTCTTTTTGAGTTTGGTTTTGAGTTTAGCATGTAATTATGAATAGTTCTTGAAAGTTTGAACTTAATTAGATGTGAAATAAAGCTTTCATGTAAATCTGTTAGATATGCAAAACTGATCTTTTCAAATACCTTGTATCAGGACATCTAGAAATGGACGCTGAGAGAAAACAAATATTACAATGATACTTAGCATACTCAAATACGTGTGTTTAGATCTATTTGGAATAGGCTAACAGTCATTCAGACTACTTAAGTAGGTGCCTATACTTTGCTTCTAGCATAGGAGATGAAAGTGGAATAGTTTTAAAAGTTGTCGAGAATCATACAGAATTGTCAGAGGCATCATTTAGATGTATTTGGGATAAAAGTTTAGTACTAATTTTTTGAACGTTAATGTCCAAGAAAAGTTTGACCATCTGCTGACCACTACATTGTCCACTGATCCATTGAAATTTACATCATTAAATAAAGTTGCTCGTGCTCTTTCTAACGGTGAAAATCGCAGTTCTATTAAGTTGTTTGTGCTCATTAAATAATCTATTGAAGTATAACTTCTAAGTTTGTTAAGATTGAATTCGTATTTCTTGTCGGTCACTTTTGAAAATGAGGAAAATCGTCTAGAAGAGATTAGCAAAGAACAGAAAGAGTCATTCAACACATGTGGTGTTCTTCGTTCTCATTGAGCAAATCATGGTATATAGTAATTAAGCTACATTTTTTTCTTTTGAGCTTGAAAAGTCAATTTTCTGGGTTTTTTTGTGTAACCATAGGTGTCAGTTTTCCTCTTTTTCCTGTCTTCTGGTTGCTATGTCTTTCTATTCTTCGTGAAAAATAATTGTTTCATTTTACCAATAGAAAGAGTTCTCTTTACATCTAGTAGCAATACAAAGAGAATCTCTTATATTCTCTTCGTTTATATTCACTGAACAATGCTCTTTGCTTTCAGCAAACTAAAGAAGAACGTTGTCGGTACTTCTACATTGAAAGGTGACAATGTATTGTCATTATGATAAAAGAATGAAGCTATTAATTCC